TCGTCTTCGTCCCCGGGGTCGTCGTCGTCGTCGCCGTCGACGCGCGCAGCCGGCTGCGTCGACCTTCAACTAGTGTTAGAGAACTGCAGGAGCCGGCAGATGCAAGTACGCGACACGTTGGAAGGCTCGGGCCGCCCGCGCATTCAACGACGCACTCGGCGCCTTTGCAGGGCACGAGAGTCGAGCCCGATGAAAGCCTCGATGAGATTCTACCCCCGGCGAGATTTTGGCCGAGGGTCGCTCGACCTTCAACTAGTGTTAGAGAACTGCAGGAGCCGGCAGATGCAAGTACGCGACACGTTGGAAGGCTCGGGCCGCCCGCGCATTCAACGACGCACTCGGCGCCTTTGCAGGGCACGAGAGTCGAGCCCGATGAAAGCCTCGATGAGATTCTACCCCCGGCGAGATTTTGGCCGAGGGTCGCTCGACCTTCAACTAGTGTTAGAGAACTGCAGGAGCCGGCAGATGCAAGTACGCGACACGTTGGAAGGCTCGGGCCGCCCGCGCATTCAACGACGCACTCGGCGCCTTTGCAGGGCACGAGAGTCGAGCCCGATGAAAGCCTCGATGAGATTCTACCCCCGGGCGGCGAGATTTTGGCTGCGTGCGAAGACATGGCGAACTCTCCCTAAATCCATTTAAGGAGCGTGGGCCGGCGCTCATTCGCTTGCAAGCCGCCACGCCCTTCGAGCAGACGCGCCGTTGGCCTCTTAGGGCTACCCAGAGATCTCTTTGTTCAAATGGTGATATACGACCAATGAAAAGCGAGCTCATTTGGACGCCTCCGAAGCGTCGCCGTTCGCCGCGACCGCCCCACGCGGAATCCCCAGGGAGACGCCGCCACAAAAGTCGCGTACGCTAGAAGCTACAAAGGGCCCTTTCGCCATACTAATTCAGTCGAAATTTGAAGACTTCACAAAGTTCACTATGAGTCGTGCTTTGACAAGTCGAGATTTGGTCTTGCCAAAATGTCAGGGAAAGTCAAATGACAGCTAGCTGGATATTGTTCAATTACGGGAAGGTGCAATATTTGGGGGGATGCCAATTTAATGTATGACTGTGCCAACTCGCGTGCGAATGTCGATCCAAGCCGAATAGCACTGAAGTGAAGTGTTCATACTTACTGACATTTGCGCAGCATTTCAACTCGCAATGGAAACAGATGGAATATCTTCGGGTAAATGTCGTCGGATCCATATTTTTGAGAGCCAAGATCCCTCTGAGGCACACTCGTCCAATCAGACATGCTGTTTCTTGTTCTCTTGCTATTACAAGATTCCTCTATGAGGCAATGCCAAACTTGATGCAGGCCAGGTGACACTAGGTATCGAAAGGGTGACACTAAGTATCGAAGTGGAACTAATTCCCGAAGAGAGTCGGCATTCGGGTCCGCCGCAAGTATGCTTGTCTCGCCGCGACGGCCTCGATCTCAGAAAGCTCAGCCCAATCTCCGTCGTCAAAATTGATCTCCCACAGCTTCATCCGCCGCATCTGCCCCCCCCGCCGATACTTCACGTCCGCGCGATATATCTTGGTGACGCTGCCATCGTACGCTTTGCCCTTGTTGTAGAACTTGGTGACGCGGTCGCCATTCTCCGGCACCGCCCCCAGGCCAAACTTTCTTTTGTTAAAGGTGCCGTACGCCTCCTTGTACCAGCTCTCGTCTTCGGCGAGCTCCAGGACCGTGTACAGCGGACATTGGACTCGCCCGGCGTGCACGACCCATTCTGACGACGCCCTTTGACGGCACACTTTCGCGATTTTGCTGCGCGTACCTTCTGGGGGTGTGAACCGTTTTCCCTTGAGTTCCGTCGTCCATTGTTTTGCCGTAAATGCCAAGAGTTTGATGGCGCCTTCTTTCATTGAAGCGGGTGCCTTGGCGCGGGTTGATCTGCGCAAGGTATATTGCGCATCCTCCGCGCGTCGCCGCTTCCCGCGTCTCTCGGGCACAACGTCGTTCTCAACTTCCGGGTCGCCCTGAGGCTCCAGATCAGGCGCCACGGCTTGCTGAAGCACATCTTCCCCCACCTCCGTGTCCGCGTCCATGGCGTCGCTCCCGTATTCTGATGCGTCGCAGCTGTTCAGTCCATCACCCGTTCGCTGCGTTCCGAGACTAAGAATGATCTCACTCATTTTTCTTTTTGCTGCTAAATCTCGTTGGGTGTATGAATTTCAGGGCTGCAAGTGCGCGTCTCAAAGTGGACACCTTGAATTCGGTGCAGGTGATATGCGCAGGTGATATAGCCGCCAGGATATATCAGCCAGGATATTCAGGATACAGAGGAGAGAGACAGAAGATATATCTCGTACTCGAGTACGAGTTATCGTCTGTCGCTGTTGTGCGCCTGAGCGCACCCCAGGAAAATCTTCTTCTGGGGGGAAGTGGGGCATATGTCAGGGAGTAATCCGGCGCCTAGGCCGCCGCCAAGAGGGTCTTATTCTTTGTCGGCCGGCGCTGGTGCGGGCGGGGCGGCCCCGGCCCCGGCACCAGGTGCGGCAGCAGAGGAAGGGGGGGCGGAAGCCCCGGCAGAGGCTCGCGCGGAGACCGCCGAGCCAGCGACCACGAGCACTTTTGTGGCGCGGGTTGCCGCGTCACCGGGCGTGAACGTGGGCGTCGAAGTGCGGATTAAGGCGACAGACGAGAGGTTTATTGAAGGGGTGGTTACCGGGCGGCGCAACGTGGATGACAGCTATCCAGTGGCGCCACTGGGCCTTAGTGGGGAGCGCGGTCTCGTGCTGAGCCTTGTATTTGCTTATCTGCAATGGACCACATGTCGCACAATTGCCCGCAGGACGCTTTGCGCCTCCGGTGGCCCACGGCCGCTTCGGATCCGCCGCTGCCGCGCGATCAAAGCGGTGGGCTCCGAACCACTCCTGGTACCCCCCATCGCTGAAAGCCAAAGCGACACTGTAGTAATGCAGCCCCTCGATCGACCCCGTCCGCAGGACCGAATTTAAAGTCACCCCTTTCTTGGACGCCGGACCCGCGCGCACGCCGCTCGGCGGCACCTTGCCAAAATTAGACCTGTGCGCCAGCTCCTCCATCCCGTCCTCCGCGCCCTTTCGAAGGGTGACCAGTGTATTGCCAAAGGTTCCTTTTGCGACCACGTCGCAAGGCCCCGTGGACCGCGCTACCCGCTGCAGAGCTCGGCCAAAGTCGTCCTCCGGCGGCTTGCCCAGCACTGCTTTCGCTGTCGTCATAGTGCGACCCGCGTCCTCCAGCCCGGCGCACAGCGCCTTGGCCTTCGGAGCCAGAGCCTCGCCCAACAGCTCTTCCATCACCTTGAGCCCTAAACACCCAGGCTGACGCGAGCCTGGATCCTCGATTCTTTGCTTCTTGGCCTTCCTTGTAGCCACATCCTTCAGAGCTGCCCCCAGCCGCAGCACGTGCCCTCGCAGTACGCTCTCGGTATCATCGAAAAGACCGAAAACCGGGGGTGCCAAAGCAACGCCCTCGCCACCCTCGAGGGCCTGTTCCACAGCTGCCACCAGCGTCAGAACGTCCTGCTCCAAAAGGTCCTTGGCCACGCTTTGAGCTAGGAGCAGAAAGGGCGGCCAACACTTATCCACATGCTCCGCTGCGCATCCAAGGACTTTGCTCACGAAACCGCCCTCGCTGAACCCGAAACCCGGAGGTACCGTTTCGCTGGTGTACCGAGCAGGCGCCCGGGCTACCGGAGCGTCCCGCGTCGCTATCCGCGGCACCGAGGGCGCGCTGCCCGGTAGTGAGCCTCGCCGACTCGTATAATCCCGCTCATACTCGGCCACCGTGAGGAAGTGCTGCCCGTGCATCATGTTTGACACGAGACCGCGCTCCCATCAGTATATAAAGAGAGGTGTTTCACGCCATCATGAATTTCACTTCGTTCATTCATTCTTGCGTGAATCACCTGCTCTTTATGAACTGATGGCCTCTCTCGCTGTCGCTCGTTCGGGGCTACGCCAAAGTTGAAGTAAAGTTGAAGTTCAATATTTTGCCCCTTTTGTTCCCAAATGACAAAACCCCAAAGCATCAAAAAAAGTTTGCCCCTTTATTCCCAAATGACAAAACCCCAAAGCATCAAAAAAAGTTTGCCCCTCATCAGTATATAAAGAGAGGTGTTTCACGCCATCATGAATTTCACTTCGTTCATTCATTCTTGCGTGAATCACCTGCTCTTTATGAACTGATGGCCTCTCTCGCTGTCGCTCGTTCGGGGCTACGCCAAAGTTGAAGTAAAGTTGAAGTTCAATATTTTGCCCCTTTTGTTCCCAAATGACAAAACCCCAAAGCATCAAAAAAAGTTTGCCCCTTTATTCCCAAATGACAAAACCCCAAAGCATCAAAAAAAGTTTGCCCCTTTATTCCCAAATGACAAAACCCCAAAGCATCAAAAAAAGTTTGCCCCTCATCAGTATATAAAGAGAGGTGTTTCACGCCATCATGAAGATCCAGGTAGGTGACATGGTAAGCTACGTATGGCCGGAAGAATCCAAAGAAACGCGCGGACCTTGGACTTGGGTGGTGACGCTGGTTACGATGAACGGAGTAGAAATCAGACCAGCTAGAGCACTCGAGAGAAGCTTACAGTCCGGAGGAGAGGACCTAAGACCCAAGCGAAAAGATATTGTGTTTTCCAAGTACTGCTCTCATGGACCTCTAGCAAAGGACATCAGATTATGCGTAGACCCGTGTCGTCAGCCAACTTGTGTGTGGTGCAAGCAACACGGAGTTTTCGATTACAAAAACAGAACCACATTTGAAAGGGACTCCCTACCGGAAGTCGCCAACACTTGGGTTTCTGACGACATCCACATGGCTAAGACCTTGGCCAGAGAGGATGTCTCTACGTCAATGAAAGTAATCGAGAAAACAATGAAGCAGCAAGGAATGCTGCAGCCACCCACAAAGAGGATGTTCACATCTCTCACCTGGGTGCCAGCTAAATTTTCCAGGAATGACAGGGATATTGTAGCCGCTGGGCTATGGGATTCTTGTTGTAACCGAGCTTTTATAGACGAGCACTTTTTTAAGACATTGTGCGCGCGTGAGCTCACGTATGGGATCCAGCAATATAAGGACAAACCTGACA